TGTAAGAATATGATCAGCAATTTACATTTTTCAGTAGCATTGCTTTATCACTTAGCTTTGTTTTAAAGTCATTTGATTCACATTCTACAAAGCTGCTTGTTGGAAATGTGAGAAATGACAAGTGAATTGCCTTAGAATGAGTCTTCGTCAGGTGTGTCCTGTGAACTGTGTCTTTTCCTAGAAGACATTATTTCTCATTATGATCATTGGAGTGGAGAACCAGCCCAAAAACAGCACCACCAAAGCACAGGCTGCATCTTAATAAATCTAAACTTGTCATTCATCCCCAATCTATTCTGGGGTAGATATTTAATTATGAAGGGAAGATGTGCATGGAGATTAACTGCACAATACTAAATGAGATTCAGCCTATTGAAGAAAGGGAGAAACTATTGGATCAATTTTATAAGGTTCTCATAATTTCTTTGTAGTTCGGGGGATCAATAGCAGAGACAGTCAAGGGGAAAGAATGCCCTTGCTTTAAATTGTTTTTTGTTCTATGTGGCTCCAGATATTTCTCTGAAATTAAAGATCATCTACAGGTAGAAATATGAACAAATGTCCTTTAGTTCATTTTTGGATTCTGTTATAAATTACCTGAAATCTGTATTTATGGCACTAGCCAGCTAAACGTTAACATATATCTTACAGGGTTTTTAACCACTTGAGTTCTAGCCTGCATATACTCCTTCATAACCAGGTTATTTTTCAGACCTGGTATAGTTTTAGTGACAATTACCTTGTCATGCAACAATGTACCCATATGAGTTTTAGACAATTTATTTTATAACCACAAGGGGTTGTATTTTTTACTATATAAAAGGAATAAGGATCAAAAATCTGGGTTTGCTTATATTTATTTTTCTTTATTTTACTTTAAAAAACAATTCCACAACCATTGGTGGTCAGGGACACGTAACCACCCCCTTTCCCGCCCACGCGCTCTCACACACACACACACACACACACACACACACACACACCTGCCTTTAAAAAGATGATACCACAATCATTGGTGGATAGGGGCACCTTAAAGTGGACCTTTACGCCCTTTCACTAAAAATCAGCATGCAGCTCTGCTGATTTAAAATTATATTACATTCATTAGTCATACAAACAAGATTTTCATTTACTTAAAAATAGAGTTTTTCTGCTCCCTGGTCCACTTATGGCACAAATGATGTAATGTGCCCAAGCATTGCATCCTGGGAAGGTTACATCAACAGAGCATTGCTGGGAAATCTCAACTCATCTCATCATGAGATCTCAGGGAAAGGCATTTTCCTCCCCTGAGATGATGTGCATGGTAACATGTCTTAGTCACATGTGCCAGAGTTCCAAGAAGTAAAGGGAGAGCTTGCAACCTGCCCTTAGTTAACATGACCACTGTCAGAAGACTGGGAAAGAAAAGAGAAATAAGGTGTGCAAAGAGTACACAGCCTGCAATTATTTAGAAATATCTGTTTGTAGATTGTCATTACTAAACATTTCTAAAGGTGTGTGTGTGTAGTTATTTTAAAGATATGGGTGAAGTTTCTCTTCCACTCTACACACACTCACACAGCTTTAAAAAAAAAAAAAGACAATCCTGCAATCATTGGTGGTCAATAGAATGGTGAGCCCCTCACACATACACATACACACACACACACACACACACACACACCTTAAAAAATGCCTCTGTCATTGGTGGTTAGAGGCACTTTAAATCCCACCATTTAGCCTATTCCTATTCACAATGGAGGAAGGAGAGCTTTCTCTGTTGTGAAGAGAATGAATGGGATGTTGTGGATGAGATTAATGTTTGTAAAAACTAGCTGTGGTTACACTTGTGATTAGTTTATGGAAATCACAAGGTACAGATGGTTGTGATTAGTTCATGGCAATCACAAGGTACAGAATCACCGAGTGGCTGAGGGTTTGAGAAGGGCTAAAAAGCAACTAAGGTTGCAGAATCGTTCATAGTCTGGGGAGAAGCAGTAAGGCAATAATAAGGAAACTCCAGGGAAGAAGGGAAGAAGTTACCATGATCTTTTAATGGAATATTTGAGTGATTTCTCTCCTGTAATGTAAAAAAAAAGAAAGAAAAATATTGGAGGATGGCTGCTGTCCATAGCTGGAGAGACACTAGTAGAGCACTGCTAAACCATCATGAACTGGAGGAGCACTGGTGGAGGAGTTTTTAACTTGAAGCCTACTGAGAGTCCTGTCTATTGACAACAGAGGAAAGCATTTGGAGCTCACACACTTCGGAAAAAATGTAGTCCTATCCTCCACTGCCATTATGGAGCACTAAAGGAGAGTAGGGTTGAGGTTCGAGAATACCATGGGTTTGAGGTGAACCCAGCCAGTTTGAAGTTTGTAGTCCCGGCAAACTAATGCGGTAATTCAGCTGCCTAAATTCTTTGCAACAATCATGCACTTCAAGGACCTATGAAAATACTGTAGGTCCGCAGGATTAGAAGGGTCAATAATGGTGACTTCATTAGGTGCTAGCCCTCATAGCAAACTTTTTTTTTTTTTGCAAGGCTTCACTTTCAAAAAATTGGCTTGGGTTTCAGGGGTGCAGTATTTTTGCCACTTTATTTATTTTAGCATTACATTAAGTTAGATTAAACTCCTTTTTTTTTTTTTTGCAACATTGCTTCTCTTAATCTAGCCTGGTGCTGTGCCCTTTCGAGCCTAGGAAGGTGACCCAGCCTGTCTGCCCTTTACGTTTGCAAGTAACACCCTTGATCCAGCCTTGGGGCAGGTGCCTGAGCACACCAAGCTATGGGATGTGCAACTAAACCAGGAGTAAGTCCAAGACTGGGAGGATCCTGAAGCGCTTGCTTTGGCAAGCTCAGTGCAGCCAGTGACTGGTATTAGTGAAGAGTTTGAGGTTATTTTCAATAATCTCCTCTATATCCTGATATATAGAATAGCAACTAGTTGGATTTCAGTTTACTGCACATAAGCTGGCTTCCCAAAGAACAATTAGATTGTAAAGTTTAATATGTTTGGGCTGGATGGTACAAAGATCTTGAAATGGATTGGAAATCACAGTTCCACATTGGAAATGTCATGATTAGATTTAAGCAGTTTAAAACATAAACAATGTGACTGTAAAATTGTTCATAATGCTATTTATGTCAGTACACAGCTATAGTATGTGGCTGAGTGATTTTAAAATTATGTGTTTGCATTTGCAAAGGACTGCTGTATTTTGTAATACTATTAGTATGATGCACTAAAGGTTAGGCTGTTCCGTTTCCAAAGTGTATGTTCACTTTGCAGAATGTATATTATAAAATACAGGGAACCCAGGTTTACTTTGAATACTCAATTGTATGTGAGATATCACTTGATTAGTTGTTTGAAGTAAATATAGCTGTACCTTATTTACTAACATTCAATTCCCAATGTAAGCCTTCACTTTGCTAAGATAACAGTCTCTATCCCTTTAGTAAATTAACTCCAATGTGTTGTATTTCATCTAATTATCTTACAATTAAAACAAAGGAAAACCAGACTGAATAGAAAGGTTGTAGCATACAGGTGAAACTCAAATAATTAGAATATCGTGCAAAAGTTCATTTATTTCACTAATGCAACTTAAAAGGTGAAACTAATATATGAGATAGACTCATTACATGCAAAGCAAGATAGTTCAAGCCGTGATTTGTCATCATTGTGATGATTAAACCCCAAATCCACAATCTCAGAAAATTAGAATATTACATGCAATCAATAAAACAAGGATTGTACATAGAACAATATCGGACCTCTGAAAAGCATAAGCATGCATATGTACTCAGTACTTGGTTTGGGCCCCTTTTGCAGCAATTACTGCCTTCCTTATGGAGGGTGTCAATGATGGTTTTCTGCACAACTGTCAGGTCAGCAGTCTTTCCCATGATTGTGATTCCTACTGAACCAGACTGACAGACCATTTAAAGGCTCAGGAACCCTTTGCAGGTGTTATGGCTTAATTAGCTGATTAGAGTGGGACACTTTGAGCCTAGAATATTGCACCTTTTCACAATATTCAAATTTTCTGAGATTGTGGATTTGGGGTTTTCATGAGCTGTAAGCCATAATCATCACAATTATGACAAATCACGGCTTGAACTATCTTGCTTTGCATGTAATGAGTCTATCTCATATATTAGTTTCACCTTTTAAGTTGCATTAGTGAAATAAATGAACTTTTGCACGATATTCTAATTATTTGAGTTTCACCTGTATGTTAACAGCTTTAGATCAAGACAAGATGAAAGAGAAAACATTGCTAAGTTCTTCCCCAACCCAAGTTGTCTTACATTCTTTAATATAAAAGTCTACTTGAGTATCCTGTTGCTCTTGACAGCTCAAAGGATGCTAACTATAACTACACGTGAGGAGCTGAGCTATGTGCAGATAAAAGGAGTATTCTTCTCTATGCTATACATCCACAAAGTAAAATGGAAGGAAAGGCTATATCATTATTCATTGTGTCAGGAATAGTATGTGAATATATGTTGCTCCACCCTTCAACGGCAAATATGACAATTTGTTATGATTACACCACACTTTAAAATAATAACCTGGTAAAAGTAGAATAATCCAATATAAGCAAACTTTGATTCTGATTTGCTCATTGTCTGTGTCCACAATAATGTATGCATGTTCATTCAATTATACAGTATTCTTCTCTAAATGCAAATCTGTCAGTCTACTCATACTGACTAAAGAATCGTACTCTGTCTTAGGCATGAATTACTTATCCCAGCACTGTTTCGGCAAGGTAGATAGCTGCACCCAGCTCACATATACATAACCACTATAGAGCAAACCTAGGTATCTTTCCTAAAAGTTACATTTAAAATGATTTTCAGGCAAACAAAGCAATAATGAGTCAGAATGTGTATTTACTGAAAATACACTATAGCTTCCCTTATAATTACTAAATGATTATGAAAACCTGGACCACATGGAAATGTTATAGTATGTGCATCTAATTTCTTGTATTTCTACATCAGTTTCAGAGACCCCATGATCAGTATCCACCGCTGAAGTTTGGCACAGTACCCAATGGGAGCACAGAGAAGAACATTCGGAGTAACTACCCAGACATGCATTCCTACATGATAAAGTACAATCAGCGACATGTAGAAGATGCTCTGCAGAATCTGAAAACGGGGTATGTTTTTAAATGTGTTCTCATAATGATCTCTCCTCTGGTGTTCTTCTGTCTCCAAGGCAGGCAACATCTAACCAGATCAAAGTGCTCTCTAAAATGGTCACTGGATCAATAGAAGAAGACAAAATGCATCTGTGATATACATTATAATGTTCCTTCCGGTGTGTGGATTGTATGACGAAGTGAAGAATACAGTTTCATAGTGCCAGACAATGTAGATTGCTCACTCCTTTAAAGCACATCTATAGGCAAACCAAAAAAACTACCCTTGCAGTGGGGCTACCCCTGCATTGCAAGTGTTAAGTACTTGTTTTTGTTTAGGGGCTGGAGTAAAGCAGATTTACTTACCTCATCCCAGTTCCCCCAGCAGTCAGCACTGTCCTCTTCTCCCCCTCTGCTCCAGCTGGTGATATGTCCCGCGGCATCCTCACATCTAAGTGCTATGTGAAAGTCTCTATAAATGTTCAATTTGAAACACGTCTGAACTATAGACCATTGGGAAAGTTGTGTAAATACTGTAGTGAAGAGGGGCAGACGGCAATGGTCTGTACTGCAGCAAGAAAGGGAGGGAAGATGTGTATGTATGGCCAGCGAAGTGCAGCAAAGCAGGAAGGAGAAACTATAGGCCCTTCTCCACAGTGTTGCACAGATCTGTGCACGGATCCGCTGCTGATTGGAACCACCCTTGTAAAAAGTGCCTTAGGCTGGATTCCAGTGAAGATTACCCCAGATTTGCCCCAAACTTACTTCCATACCAAGTGCAAGTAAGCACACTTGAATCCGGTGCACCACCACGTGACAAATTAACAAACTGGTGTTCACCATATCTAGTGACCTGTCACAGAAAGCAATATTTATGCAGGCATATAGAAATTGTCGCATTTTGTGGTGTGCACCAGTCTTTGTTAATCCCCCATAGTGCAGGCTTATTCATATACAGCAGGCATTTTAGAGTCTACATGTGCTGCGTTGCATGTCCTCCTACCTTTGCAAAAACTTCTACTGCGCCCTGAGGGTATGGAACCAAAGTTAGAGCATAAAGTAGTAGGTTGGTGGAGTTTATTATGGCATTACATTCTGACAAAACATTGAACAGTTTTGTTGTCAGATGTTATCAAAAATATGTCCCTGGTGCGTGTATAATCATGTATAAATTGATTTGAAGTTATTAATGAAAGCATTAACACATAAAGTGTGTATTATTCCTGATGAGAGAATTGGTCCAGTCCCAATGCTTCCCTATCAGCTTATTGTGTTAACACACTGCAGTGCAGAAATATTTGGTGAACATTCATATATGCAATTGTACTGTGTTACACTTGTAAATAAAAGTATTTTATAAAATGGAAAAAGTATGATGGAAATCAAATGTTCCATTTAAGGGCTTATTTATCACAACTTTAATTTGAACCTCTTGATCGCTCATTGCACCCTCTCTGCAGAAAATTACATTTAAATCTTCACACACATTGATAGGCCCCATGCAAAAAACACAGAAAAGTTATCTGGCAATTATAAACACCTTTTTTTCTTCATGTTTTCTTGTGTTTAGATGTTCCTGGCTTTAGCTGCATTTAGCCATGCCCATGTCTACACATATTTAGCCTCGTAAAACCAGTCGAAACAGTTCCAGGATGCAGAAAAGTCTTGCTTGTGTAAAAGCAGCTAGACTGAATGCACCTAATTGCTGCTGAACGTCTAGGTGTGCATTAAGCCATAGCAAATCATTACATGCTTCCAGGTACAATTAGAAATTAACCCAAGATGCTCCTGAAGCATGTATTTCTAATTCCCATGTGTATGAGGCCTATAAGTCCAAAATTTGTACTGCAGAGGGAAACGTCGTGTTGTGGTAAATTTCATAAAACTTGCAATGTTCTTTTATGTAGTAGATCCCCAGGGAGATGCACAATTTACAGTATAATTGGATATAAAAGCTATAAAACTGTACAGTGGTTTCTGTGCAAACACTTAGGAGTCTATTCACTAGCTGCCGTAGGCAGCCGAGTGAATCACCGACCCGAAGCGAAGTGAGCCGAACGGCTGCCGTCAGAAGAAAAAAAAAAGAAAAAAACGAGCAGGGAAAGGTTTACTCTGCTCGATCGAGCAGAGTGAACCTTTCTGTGAGAAAGTGTTTCTCTCCTGGGCGGCTGGGAGCCTATTAGACTCCCAGAGCGTCCGGGGGAGGAATGGCAGATGCGTTCCTGGTTACCAGGTAACCAGGAACGCCATCTGACATTACACACTGAGAACACGGAGAGGATGCTCTCAGTGTGTAATGACAGCGTCCCTGGTAAGCTGGTAACCAGGGATGTTGATCTCTCTGCAAGTGGCCAGAGCCAGCCGTGCGATGACGGCTGGCTCCGCCCAGCTGTCAGAAGCAGGCTGTCGGCCGGCCAATGGCCGGTCATTCGGCCAGCTTCGGCTTTCAGCGTGGATCAGTCGAGCCGAGGCATATGCCTTCGGCTTGACTGAGCCGTTCGGCCAACTTCGGGAGCTGTACGGTCTATAGGGAATAGCCCGTACAGCAGCCCTTCGAGTCTACTGAACCGAAGGGGTCCTGGGGCCGAAGCTAGCCGAAGGATCAGCCGAGGTTATGACTAGATCCTTCGGCAGCTTTGTGAATAGACACCTAAGTAAAAGACAGCTTTTTAAAATATAAATTGGGGTAATAATGTATTCTTACACATTCATACACATCTTTTTTTCCTTAGAGCTTAAGGGCTAAAATCCAACTCCGGGCTCCATGCTCCTGCCATGTTTTTACACAGCAGACATTACACTCCAAGGTAAAATGTGTAGATAAGTATCAAAGTGCAAACATGAAACAGGAGCTTTGTGATTATGGCTAATCTCAGGCAATTTTCAGGTAGACTTTTAAAAAAATCTTTTTCTAGGTTGGTATGGGAGTCTACCAGCCCATTGTTAGCATTAGCATATTTGTCCATCTTAGATTTCATGTGGATGAACATGTTCTCCACATCCCAGAGTTCATCTTTAATTTTCTGCATAAGAGATATTATGTCCTTGTGCAAGGATCACTTTTGTAAAATTAACATATATTTTAGTGTGGTATCCAAAATTGGCTAATCAGAGGTCAGGAATAAGTCAATAGGATCAACCAACTCTCTGGTCTCATTCAGAGATGAGTGACTACATTTCACCTGGTCTGTCTACAGAGATGATGATTTAGGCCCCATTCACACTTAGCGACATGAAAATTGCGCGATTTTATATGAGCTATATTGAGCGACGTGTCGCGCGACATCGTGCAACTTTTTCCTATTGGGCTGTATGCAATCAGGAGCGAAATCGCTCGAAAAAAGGGTCATGTAGGAGCGACAAGCTACATCGATGAGCTACAAGCGATATTGAGCGACGAAATGTGAACAGCTCCATTGAAATGGATTGGAGAAGCTACATAGAGCGATATTGCGTGGAAATATGAGCGATATCGCTGCAAAAATCGCTTGATAAATCACTCAGTGTGAATGGGGCCTTAGACTTTACAGAACTGCATGCTGTAGAGGAGTTGGAAGAGTTGAATTTTTACCTTGTGTTTCCTGGTGGACATGGGAGGGTGAGGAAGATCTATCCTTAGGAGATGAGTGTGGTGAGGAGGCAGGCTTGGGTGCCTTCTTGGCATCATGGAGCCTCAGTTGAGTTGAAGAAATGTGTAAGTTTTCTTAGCACTGCTACGTTTTTCTGCTTTCCCATAGCAGCAGTCAGTTAGAGGGGTTGTTGCAACAGCTATGGGGAGAGAAGAGAGCCTTCTGTGCAGCTGTACCATGTCCTAAAAGTGTCAATGCCCAGAGAGCATTAGGAATGTAGAGCCATTCAGGTCAGATGCTAGTCATGATCATGCTATTTTTACTTTAATATAATACTTCTATTAATTTTTCTATAATGCTTTGTTATAACTAGGTGCTTCCGATCTCCTGTAGCCTCTATGCAGCCACTTTCTGTCTACATATACTTCATGGATGGCTACATGGCATTTCTCAAGGCAGGTTTCCAACACTTAAACATGACATCCTAATGTGTGTTGAAATGGTCACTTGTAGTCTCCATCAGAAGGGAGCAGGCATTGTCACCCTATATAACAATAGTAAATAAAAGTAATTCACTGGCGCACACTTGAAGGGTTTTTAAGGTATTGATTTGTTTATTCAACACCCAATGTCACATACTGTCATACGGTGCTAACGTTTCGGGTCAGCACAGGGATCCTTCATCAGAGCGGCTTGGTGTCACTGTCGCTCTGATGAAGGATCCCTGTGCGGACACGAAACATTAGCACCGTATGACAGTATGTGACATTGGGTATTGAATAAACATTAATACTTTAAAAACCCTTCAAGTGTGTGCTGATGAATTACTTTATTTACTATTAGTGTTTTGCACGGCACCATCCATGTGGTCACCTGGGCACCACATATACCTTTTGGTTTTGAGACCGTGGCAGTGCGAATGGGATTTGGACTTTGTTACACTATATAACAAGACGTGCTTGAACAAGGGCTCTCATGACAGGATCACCAGCTATTATTTTAATGAAAGCTGCAGATTTAAACATATTAAACAACTTTTGAATTTACATGAACATGTTAAATCTTGTGATTTTATTGATTGGGTTTACATATACTTTAAAATGAACCTGTGATTTGCCCATGCAGTATGCATCCTCATTTATAGAAATCTTTCTTGGTGGGTATGAATTGATCTTCTTGTGAACTCTGGTTTAGTGTGGTAATGGCCATTTGTTTTTAGAAAATTATGATGGCTATTAACATATGATGGATGTTTTAGAAGGAAGAGCTAAAATCAAAATTAAGTGTCTGAGAAAAAAAACATTTGAATATTTTACGAATGTGTCTATTTATGTATTTATCCAATTTGTATGTGTTTGTCTCTTAAAGGAAATTGGATGCATTTATTTATGATGCAGCAGTGCTGAATTACATGGCTCGGAAAGATGAAGGATGTAAGCTAGTGACCATTGGCAGTGGAAAAGTCTTTGCCACTACAGGTTATGGCATTGCTCTGCAGAAAGGTTCCAAGTGGAAACGCTCTATTGATCTTGCATTGCTGCAATTTCTAGGTGATGGTAAGTACTTCCTGTTCCATCTTCTTAGTAATGGGGAATAGGCTTCTATCCCCAATGGCAAAACACCATGACATACCTAAATATCACATGAAGCCAGACAATTGCTACAATGAGGAAAGAGGGGTGCCTCATCTCCAGCCGTTAGATGCTTGATATTTGCAGACTGGATTTGGGGTGCTCCTGAAGGCTCTTGTAAGGAGGTTTTGATATGTACTGACACCTTATCGTGAACATAGTTCTGTCAGAGGTTTCTGTTGGTTTTAAATGTTTTTTTGACACTAGTGTACTTGACCTGGCATCATATATAGATTTATAAAATGTTACCACTTTATTTGTCAGCATATAATAATCCAAAAAAATGAACAAGGAAATGATTAAAACAGTGTACCAAATAAAAGCATTATATGCCCTTAAAAGAAATGTAGAGTTTTTTTTCAGGTAAGCATATTAGTCAAATTGTTATTGTCAAGTGAACTGATGCATAAAATCTGATTTGGGCATCTATACATCATGTCATGATGTTCATGTCTTGTCATGAAAGAGTTAAATACCAAAGAGAGATATTCCATATGGGAAATTTAAAAACAGAGCTGTCTATAATATACTAGCATGCATAGTTAGACAGATTTTTTCAGTTAGATAGAAGTTTGATATTTCTAAACTACAACCAATTAGTCTACAATATTATGAAGACAATCCTTGGACTTGGACCCCCCTTAATGGTCAAGGGAGATTTTTAGTGGTTTTGGGTCTGTTTTAGGCTGGGCACACACCTTACAACCATCGCAAGACTTCTGTCTTGCGATGGTTGTAAGGTACTTAAAAAAACGTACGATCTGCCTATGTTGCATAGGCAGATCGTACTTGCGATGATCGCAAGCCATGCCCCCTGAGGGGCGGGCTTCCGATGACCGCAATGCCGAACGGGCAGTGTGCGCTTGCACACACCGGCCCGTACGGCTGTTATCGTACGGACATGCCACAAACCCGCCGAACATCGTATGATGCTCGGCGGGTTTTCGAACATGTCCGTAAGTTTAAAGTCGTGCGACCTTACAGTAGTAGAGGTCGCACGGCTTCCACACACCTTACGATCATCGTACGATTGCTGGATTTCCCGCGATTATCGTACGATAATCATAAGGTGTGTGGGGACCCTTACTTAGTGATATTACAGTAAAAAGGTTTTTAAGCTATTTCAGCTTCTAATTCAATCACTTTCAATGGATGCTGCTCCTTGATGTATAAACATTTTTGCTTCCTGCAAAATCAGCTTGTCCCCTGAGCCTGGCACTGATATCCTGTTTTAGGGTGGCTTTTTTATCTTTCAAGGTCCTATGGAGCCACCCTTGTGTGTGCTAGTAAGCTGTTTGTGTCTCCACAAACACACAGGGAAAGGAAGGCTTCTCCTTCTTACCTTTGTCCTTCTCCAAGCTAGTAGTTGGACTGCTGCTGTACACTCTGTTGTCCCCGATGGTTTTGTACTAGACAGTAAGTTCAGTATTGATGCATCCATTAATGAAAGATTTAAGCTTTTACAGACACCTGATCCCTTTTAGGAATTGGGTGTCTGACAGTATTAAAAATAAATAAAAGTGTAAAAAAATTTATGAAAAAAATAAAAATGATATATATCAATATATATTTTAACACTATCATTATTATAAAAATGAACCCCTAAGGAGTATTTTTTTTATTTAACCCCTCATGATGGTGATGTTCAAAGTATGCCACTCTCAATAAATGTGACACTTAGGGGTGTATTCACTAAGCTGCCTTGGCAGCCGAGTGAACGACCGACCTGAAGTGAAGTGAGCCGAACTCTGTTCGGCTATTCACTTCAGGCTGGAAATCGGCCGTACATCGGGTGGCACTGCGTGACTTCGGGACAAATGCTACATTTTAGACTCAAACTGACTGCACATTACTCACCAGAACATTTAGGGGTCTACTCACTAAGCTGCCGTAGGCAGCCGAGTGACTAACCGACCCGAAGCGAAGTGAGTATTTTTAATCTTGGCAACTAATATTTATTCTAGAATGCATCCTTGAGTCCCTCCTCTGATTATTAAAATGTACATATGTATTAATAACTATGTATTCCCTTTAAGATATATATTTTTAAATGATAAATAATTAGCACTCTTGAAATAGTTAACTTGGCTGGCTGGAAAAAAAGATCATCTTTATTTGCAATCTGAAAAGACAAGGACAATGTTATTTGCAGAGGTATCCAATATTGAGAGCGAAAAAGCAATCTGCAACAGCTGTTTTAATAATGTCTACTTCTTAACCAGCTGTCAGGATTGCTATACGTTTGTCTATACAGCATTTTCAATCTACCCTATACGTTCTCCTTGAATAGAAATGCTTGCTCCGTGTATAGAAAATTAGAAAAGTACAAAGGAATAAATCAGTTGGGCTTCTTCGTCTAGTTCACATAGTGGCCTAATAGTTAAAAGAAGAACCAGCCAATCAGCTAGCTGTTTGAGGTTGAAATGTTCTGTTATTGGACATTTTCAAAGGCAGTGGAACAAGGGAGAAAATTAGCCTTTTTTCCAGGAGATGAGTTTATTGATTTTTCTATGCGTATGTGAAAAATAAAGAATGTTGCGTTACTTTGAACAACTTTACACATCCATAAGTATATGTTACGCTACTTGAGCAAACCTTTATTTAACAGGGATTGACACTTAAAAGCTAGTTTGCAATGTAATCATTTTTCCCTTCGTTGTGACAAGTCCTTTCCCAGTGATTATTGGGTTTAACTGAACTGACACACTTCCTCGGCAAGGATGAGCAGCTGTGGAAATTCTTTTTAAAAGAGAATTATAGCCTTGTTTTAAAATGTGAGTCAAAATGAGTTTTTATATATTAAATTATAATTAATCTGAAATACTTCCAGATGGGAACAAAATCATTTTGCGTCGTAATTAAAATTCAGATGTTTAACAAGAATTTTTTTTACCCTGTGTAAAAGCTTTTAAAAACAACTATTTACCTACAACATTTTTTGGCAGGTTTCCATTTTAGCTTGGCCTATTTGTACCATGCTACCATCCTTTTACACATTAGAAGGTACAAAAATTGGTAATTCTGGGTTACCATATAATTCCTAAAATTATAAAAACCCCAGTGGTGAATAAATACCACCAAAAGAAAGCTCTATCTGTCCCCAAAAAAGGGTATAAAATTAATTTCAGTACAGCGCTGCATGACGGAATAAATGTCAGTCAAATTACCGCAGCGCTGAATACTGAAAAATGGCCTGGATGGGAAGGGGGTTTAACACCGCGGATGTCAACTGGTTAAAAGAGCAACAAATTGTCCTGATTTTGGCATGTGCTGATTTTGTACACATTCCCCTCTTCGTGACAGTCCTAAAACCTACTCAGAATAAAAATGTGTGCAGCAGTATCTGTGATTTGCATTCATTTTTCAACACACAAACATATTTCTGTTCTAGCAAGCACGCTCCTAGTCATCTGCAGCAGGCCAGTGCTGGTTTTACCCTATGACAGTCAATCCAATACAGTTCTTTCAGAGAGACACCACAAACCTCCTAAACAAATGGCATCTAATTGAAGTGAAGGTTTACATAATGCATATTGTTAAATATTTGTGAGATATATAAAAAAAATAAGCAAACTATCATCAGCATATTTATAATTTTCACTCCTCTTCGGCCAATCCTTCGGCTAGCTTCGGCCCCAGGACCCCTTCGGCTCAGTAGAACCGAAGGGGTGCTATACAGGCTATTCACAATAGCCCGTACAGCTCCCGATCATGGCCCAGCGGCTCAGCCGAGCGGCCGAGCGGCTGAGCCGTGCTAAAAGCCGAAGCTGGCCGAGCTTCTGACAGCTGGTGGGAGCCAGCCGTGATCTTACGGCTGGCTGTGGCCACTTGCAGTGAGATCAGTGTCCCTGGATACCTGCTAACCAGGGACACTGATCTCCAAACAGCTAACTCTCCCTGGCGCCCCGGGAGTCTCCTGCTCCCGGCCGCCAAGGAGAGAAACACTGCTGTGTCCTTTTTTTTCTTTATTCTGAAACGAGCGATGTCAGAATAGAAAAAAAAAAAAAATTCCCATTGAAAAGCATTGGGACATTACTATTGGCTATTTCAATTTGCAATAGCCAATAGTAAACTGGCATTGTACCCGCCCTCTGCTGCAGTTCCCATCAGGTCCATCATGCTTTTCAATGGGAAAATTTCTCATCGATCGTGTCAGAATAAATAAAATAAAAGACACAGCAGTGTTTCTCTCCTGGGCGGCCGGGAGCGGGAGGCTCCCAGAGAACCCGGGAGAGTTTTTTTGTTTCTTTTTTTTTTTACAGCAGCAG